CAGGCTTCCACCCCGCTGGCTTCACAGCAGGAGCTGGGTCTCTCCGGAGCCGGGCAAGCGTTCCAAGTGTTGGGGCATTGAATATTTGGAAGTGGGGTGGGGTCTGTCCTCTGGCCTCATCCTTACAGCCGGAGACGAGGGGAGCTCCCTGAGCTGCTGGGCTGGGGACTGTCTTGCTCTTTGCAGTACCCATCCAGGCTGTGGGCAGACCTTGTGTAGCAGCCTCGGGGGCTTTGCAGGTCCCTTAACAGTGATTTCTGGTGCTGAGACCTCGGTTATGCAAGAATTTCAAGTCACAGATCTTTGTTAAAAAAGGGTTTGATCCGATGTGCACAGAGAAACACTTGGAATACATAGGGCAAAAGGCTCAAGTAACAAGAGGCGAGTGGAATACAACCAAAATAGCATTGTAGAAATGTCATGATTTTAAAGCTTATGTAAGGATTTTTGTATGCAGTGCCTCCCATGTTGGTTGGTTTGGTTTTTTCTTAACATGTACATCTGACTTCTTCCCTGCAAGTCCTGTGGAGTTGCTGACCATACAAAAATGTGCGTGCAAAGCAACACAAGGACTGGAGCGGTTAGAGGTGATCTGGCTTTCGACATCTTCTAATGCCGGAGGGGGGGAGATGGCGTCAAAGTCTGCAAGAATCTAGATGAGAGTCAAGAGTTTTTTCTCAGGAGACCAGAGGACGAAGGCAGGGTCAAGAAGTCAGACAGCGGAGAATTTTCTGAGGTGCAGCACAGGGAAGTACCAGTGAAAGGGGCGCTGCAAGCCGAACCGGATCATTCCTGAAAGATGCCTGCAATTTTGAGGCAAACCAATACAGAGCAATGAGTGCAGCTAGCTTTGAACTCCGGTGACACTGGCTTTTCTTTTTGTAATTTTCCTTTTGCCAGAGCAACCTTTGGCAAAGAACATGTTTCTCCAGAGGAGAGATGCTGCGGTTGGCGTTTTGACAGCAAATTTCTATAAATCCTAGTGAAGGAGACTCACTTTAATTTGACTGCATAGAATTACTCACTGAGACTGTCCTTCTTTACTTTTTTTGTGCCCTGAGTTGACATTAGTATATGGTCCCAAAATCCTCTGCAACTGCAGATATTTCCCCTTACTCATGTAATTTCTGCACAGGAAAAAAAAAATCAATTCCTGATTTGCTTTTTTTCTGTGCGTCTTTCTGGGCATTTTTGTTTTATTTTCTTGAATGGAAAAAAACCCTCAAACCATAAGCAGAGTTCCAGTATCCAGTTGGACTGTAATACATAGTTAAAAGTTTTAGAAAGAGGAAAATAGCTTTATTATTATTATTTATTACAATGCTGTAATCAAGGGGAAAAAACTGCAAAGAAGAGCAGCTGCAGCTGAAAGAAACAAAGCACAAAGAGACGTGAAACATGTTTTTTGCTGTTAGCGTTTTTGATTTCCTGTGAGGATAATAATAGGTCGTACGTAGATGAAATATGGTCCAGGGGACAGGAAGGTATTTAATAAGTGAAAAAAAGGCCTCTGGCAGGTTAATTGACACACAGGTCTGTTTTCTAAAAGCCTGTTCAGACCCTCTTATTCTCAGGACAGCCTTCGGACAGAGCCTGGCTTGCTGAGATTGTAAGAGGTCAATAATGACACTGAGAAAGACCAGCAATTTGCTGAAAATAATTATGCATTAGATAAAAGAGGGGATTGTTTCATCCCATTAAAATGAACTCTGTGTAGCAGAGCATTATCGCTCCACTCTACTGAAAGTAAACACTTCTGCGTTCACAATGTTTGCTGCCAGCTGTGGAGAGTGGGAAAAAAAAAAAATCAGCTCTTCGTTACAGCGAGGGGTGGAGATGCCAGCTTCGTTCCGCGGTGCCGGATGACCCGAGCTCCAGACACCACCAAGCCTCTGGTGCTCAGCTGAGTCCCAGGCTGCTCCTGCGCTTGCAGTTTTGGTGTAGCTCTGCGGGAAGACTGGAGACAGAAATAGCAAAGCTGTAGGTTTGTGAACCTACACAGGATAAACACGTCGGAGTGTGGGAGGGCAGATGCAGTCTTCCAAAAGTCATCACTGGTAGGCTGTTAATGAGGTACAATTTTCACTCCTGTTTGCTCCCACACCAAAACTCACATACGGAAGGGCTTTGGAGAGTTTCCTTTCCTTGTGCACCAAAGGGAGAGCACTGGGGACATTAGGTACCAAATTAGCTATCAAATGCCTTAATACCTTTGTAGCTCTGTTCCAAGGCTAAATTCTCCATAGGCTTCACTGACTATCCTTAAGCTTTCAATGGCATGACAATTATAGACATGCACATCAGAATCCAGAATGCCTCCCGCCAGATAGGTCTCTTGAGGCAAGGTACATCTGAGTTTCCATACAGGTGGTCCAGCTGTACCTTTCAGAGAAAGCACATCTGCACACTGGCGGATTTTCCTTCTTGTCATTTCTGCTGCTTTATCCAAGCCATGCATCTGTGGGTTGTCTTCCTGCCACCTTAGCCTGATCCTTTTATGCAAGGATAGTATCGGGAGCTGCAAATCACCCACAACTATTGCCCTCGGGTGTGAGATGGAGCATATCCTTATGAGAGATTCCCAGGCAGCAGGGCTGTGGGACAAATCGCTCTGAGGGCTGGTAATAGGGTGAGAAGTTACAGTGGCACAGGCTGAGTCCTTCCACTACCTTGTGAGGTTTGGCTTAGACCCAGGGCCAGACTTTTGTGGTGGTATGAAAGCACCTTGGGTTTGCATCTGATGGGAGAGCCTGACAGCTTAATTACACTCTGATAGGACTGAAGCCCTGAAAAACAGTATGTTTCATCCTGTGTGTTGTGATTGTGACAAAAATACTTATGATGAGATTAGTTTGGTGAGGCAGATATAAATTGAGGTCCTTCTAGTCTTCGCACCTATCAAAATTATGAAGTTAAAGACAGGCTATCTGAGCTACTACACTAGTAGAACAAGATGATCCTCCCTCCCTGCAATATGCTTAAGATCTGGACAGCAATTTCAGTGGGACAAGTAATTTTTCTCTCCCTATCAGCCTGACCCCCTGGGAAACAGTGGGAGGTACATCATATAAATATTGAAAATGGAATACAAGAAAAATCAAGAAATACAAGGAACTACAGTCTTTCACTGTGTTTAATACAAGGACCATAAACACCAGCTCTGAGGATTCCTTTTTTTCCTACTGACATCTCTTTAGTCATTGCCCAGAGAAGCTGTAGATGCCCCATTCCTGGAAGGCCAGGCTGGATGAGGCTTTGAGCAACCTGGTCTAGTGGAAGGTGTCCCTGCCCATGGCAGGGGGGTTGGAACTGGATGGTCTTTAAGGTCCCTTCCAACCCAAACCGTTCTGCGATTCTATGATTGTCTCAATCTCCCCTTAAGCGTGAAATGGGGAGGATGCCTCGGCGTTTTGGTTATCAAACTGAGGTAACGCAAGGCTTCATGCTCAATGTGCCGACACTGCTCTTGCTGCCGGCAATGTGTATCTAGTCACTCCCCCACATTCTGGGGAATGCTGTGGTAGGTGAAGAAGGCAAAAGTCTCATCGCTCATTTGCTGTTTTCTTTCACAACAGGGAAAAAGCTGTGCACAAACACTTAGCAAGGGATGAAGTTAGGATGTGGTGCGGTGCAGTAAAAATTTCCTTGCCTCTGCCAAGCAAAAGACACCTGCAGTGAGCATGTAGGCAGAACTGCTTATAGACGTGCCAGGTTCTGAGCTTCTCCCGTGGTGAAATGAGGACCAGCTTGACCCAGCCCCACCACTCTTGAGTGGTATTTTATTGCTGTAATTTAGCACAGGAGAACAAAATGAGGTTTTTACATTGTTACCTAATACTGTTGCATTCATGGGGGTCATGCATTCCATTACCATGGATGGATTCCTACATGCTTATGAGTGTTCTTATGAACTGTTCAGAGTCAGACTGGCTCACTGAATAAATATACATCTCCCTTAAATAAATATACACTTGTCTTCCTCTCAAAGCCCCCAGAGCCTTAACACTTTTATATGAGTATTTACAGAGGAAACAGCACTAGCCCTATAATTGTCCACATCAAAATCTATTTAGAGAACCTGATTATTATTCATCTGGAGTTACTAACAGGAATGTGGCAGAGAATTGCCATAGTATTTGCGCTGTTGAGTTAACAATCAAAGAGCAGCCATCACCAGCGTTATTGTTTATTACTGTTCCAATGTGCCAGGGCTGGCTTGTTTACAGGCATCATAACTAAAGAACCAGAGTTCTCTTTATTTTCCACTAAGGGAGCCTGAAGGGAAGAGCACCTCTTCCAGTGCCTTACAAAGCTTGGGGAGGGCATCGGGGTCATTAGTTGCTGCAGGTGAGGTAATTGAAAATGCTTATCACTCCACCCTCCCTCTGTTCTTAGGGGACTTTTTCTTTTAGAAATACCTGCATTTTGTCAGTACTTTACATAAGCTTTTGAATATAGGGCCAGTGTCTTAATGTTCCCTGGAATATAGAAAACATTGCACATTCTGTCAATAATAGATAATAGGTAACTATAAGCACGTAACATAAAGCGCCATAGGTGTTTGTGAGCCATTTATAAGCAATTTATTATTGATCAGGAAGGGAAGGAGGGATAACCAATTCATTAAAATCCATGAAGCCTGTATAATCCTGTCTAAGGGGTGTTAAAGGCTCTGTTAGAAATTAGATGTGAGCCACCATTCTTTCAGCAGTGAGCTGTCTGGCCGACAGCTGATACCATCGCACCAAATTCTTGGCACCCTCAGGATACTCCTGAGCTTCATTGACCTGTCCCACAGCCAAACATGTAGCTAGGAGCTCTGGTTTTAGTTATCCATTCCAGCTGCTCTTAGCAGTGATGATTTTACTTTTGTGGCTCACCAATTCATATCGCTTTCACGCGGTGCTTGCTTTTAAGAACTGCCACTCGCTGTTCCTTTGGTTTGCTCCCTGGCTAAATCTTTTTCTTCCCCCTTTTCTGTGTTTCCCACTCCTCCCCAGGGCGAATGCTCACGGAAGTGCTATGACATCTTTGTGCTGGAGACGGTGTGCGTGGCATGGTTTTCATTTGAGTTCCTGCTGCGATCCATCCAGGCGGAGAACAAGTGTGCTTTCCTGAAAACCCCACTCAATATCATCGACATCCTGGCCATCTTGCCTTTCTATATCTCTCTCATTGTGGATACGGTCTCCACAAAAAACAGCAGCAAGCCCAGTGGCGGAGCTGGGAACAAGTACCTGGAACGAGTGGGCCTGGTGCTGCGCTTCCTGCGGGCTCTGCGCATCCTGTACGTGATGAGGTTGGCCCGGCACTCGCTGGGGCTGCAGACGCTGGGGCTCACTGTGCGCCGGTGCACCAGGGAGTTCGGGCTCCTCCTGCTCTTCCTTTGCGTCGCCATGGCCCTCTTCTCGCCCTTGGTGTACTTGGCTGAGAGTGAACTGGGAGCCAAGCAAGAATTCACAAGTGTCCCCACCAGTTACTGGTGGGCTGTGATCTCCATGACAACTGTTGGCTACGGGGACATGGTGCCTCGTAGCATCCCTGGACAGGTGGTAGCCCTGAGCAGTATCTTGAGTGGGATTTTGCTGATGGCTTTCCCAGTCACGTCCATCTTTCATACCTTTTCCCGTTCCTACAGCGAGCTGAAGGAGCAGCAGCAGCGAGCAGCAAGCAGGCAGATGCGCCAGCTAGAAGAGAGCACCAAACTCCCAGGTGGTGACAGTGCACAGGCGATCAGTGTCACGTTCCTGCTGGATGCTGCTGAGCAGAAGGGTCAGCCTTCCGTGGACCAGGAAGCCAAGAGAAGTTGTTGACTCTGAACAGCCGAAGACGTATGTTGGCAGCACAAGAAGCAGTGGACAAGGGGGGCAGTTCTGCAAGAAGAACCTCCTGAACTGCATAAATGAGGGGCAGACACACACAAGGTTGTCCCTAAAGACCGACTTTTGATCCTAGGGGCCCACTGAAAAATGCCTCTAGAAACTTTACCAAGTACAGCTCAGCTCCATCGCTTTCCGTAAGGCATCTCCTTTCCATTGAAGTATTTCTGGCAACCTGCAAGGAGCAGCCACTGAATGTAGCCAGCCGGGAGAACGTAAGGGGGAGCACAGCCTGCACCGGGGGGTGCCGTTTGGCGGAGCAGCCAGCGTGCCGGCTTGGCCCCGTTCCGTGGGCCAGGGGCTGAAGGAGGGGGCTCTCCGTGCAGCGATGCCCTGGGCAGAGGGGGTTTGTTTCGGCAGCTCCGCCAAGGAACACACACCTCAGAGAAGCTGAGGGATGAGGGCTAGAGAAGGGCAGAAACTTTCCCAGGGGCTTGGTTTTGCCTGGTTTAGAGATGAGGCAGTGCAGCCTGGGCTGCCAGCTCCGACTTGTGCACTAGCACAGTGTGCATCGTTCAGTAAACGCGCGTGTTTACCACCCTGAGCTTCGTATCTTAGCCCCGTGACAGAAATACACATAGACAATCTTCCTGACTATGGGACTGACGGTTAACTTTTTTTTCCCTTTGCTAACAGCTGATTATAACAAATACCTTTACAGATGACCCCATTTCTCCACCTTCGGTTAACTATTTCCATCTCTCATGTATCAGAGAACCTGTTTAACGGCTCATTAAGCTTGACCTGTGTGCGGCCCGAGAGGGGGAGGGCGATACTAAACCAGCAGTGACTCCCAGCTCTGCGTGCCCTCCCTCAGCAGTAGTGGCTGCACTGGTGGCAGTCGTGCAAAAGGGAATAGTCCAAGCCCTGGGCAGGCCATGAGATGCCTCCAGCGGGCTCTGGCCCAAGCTCCAGCGTGGCAGCTCTGCTCTGTTAGGAATAATCCTTCTTTATTATTATTTCCTACTAAGAAGACAATCCTGTCATCTAAAAATCAGAACTATTGTTCTTAGTCGTCTCCCTACTTCTCAAAAGATTTAAGAAGTAAAGTTAAAAGGGAATCTGAACCCTCCCTAACTTTCAACTTAAAGGGAAAATGAATCATATGGTGGCATCTGCATGTTTGTTTACTGATACCGGCCCCAAGAGCCCCCTCAGCCCCCTCCGTGGTGGGGCTGTGTAGCTGGTCCAAGTCAGTGCGACGTGTGGGTCCGTTCCCTGCTCCTGCAGGTGGGATGTGATCAGGAGGTGGAGGGAAAGGGAGCACAACTGCCTCTTCTACCCGTGTCCCCATTTGTATCAAAGCCACGCCGTGTCACCCTCGGTATTCTCCTCCTGCCAGGAAGGGAACAAAAGCCGATGCAGTGAAGGTGGGATATGTCTAGGTCGGGGTTTTTGGCCTCAGCATATGGTGTAACACCAACCCTACATCAGCAAACTCCCATATCAAACCATTCCTTAGAGGAGTGGAGCACGGGAAAATAAAAGCTTACATTTTATTTTAATAAAAATTAGAAGCTGTGTTGCTGAATGCTCGCTTCTGGTGATTCGGGTTGGGGGGAGGGGCGATGTCACCGTGCTGCTGTGAGGCGACCAGGGTACCACGCCACTGGCCCTCTCCGGCCCGCAGCAGCCCTGGTAACGCGCCTTTGTGGCCATATCCGGGCCAGGCAGCGCAGCAGGATCACGGGCCAGGTTACACAGCTCAGAGCAGCGTGTTACATAGCTCAGAGCAGCGTGTTACACACAGACACACAGAGCTGGCTGCTGAGGGCTGCAAGAGAGGGAGATGGCAAAATCAAGCTGTCCAACCCTGCAGGCTGCATCTGGGTCTCCAAAGCCCCAGCTGTAGTAAACTACAAGCAAACCGAACACGGCCACGCACACACCAGGGCTCTGCCCATCGTTCCCGGCCCACCACCAGCCCGGAATCCCACCTTAACCTCACGCCAGGCAAGGGAGGGCCAAGGGCTAATGGACAGTGCCTGGGCTGACTCATGACTCCTGGCAAATCAATCCCGGTGCTGGGTTGCTGTGACTCATGAGACATTCTATTAGTTTTTTGAGTCCCGATGCAGGCATTTCTTACGTTAAGGTTGGCGCCAGGGATACAGCGAAATGCAAACCAGCGAAGTGAGCGGAGGGAGGGGCGAGGGTGAGGTGCTGCGTGGTGCTGAGGGGGCAGCAGTGCATTTTACGGTGGCATCCTTGTGCTAAGCCTTCAGGTGGGACCCGACACATTCACCCGGCGAACCCACAAGTTCAGCTCTCAGAGTACTTTGTTCCACACCCACCAAGTGCTGCGTAGCACTGCGTCTCTGGGGTGAATGCCCCGATTGCAGTCTGTGCACAAAGGGTGCAGAATACATCTCCTCCCGGTGGGGAGGCCCACAAATGATCAGCAGCATTACCTTACTCTTAGAAAAGCCACGTTGAAGTAGACATCCTTGCAGAATGAAGAGCTTCCCGCTTGCAGTCCCAGCAGATAACTTGAATGAACAGTTAGACTTGATGATCTTCAAGGCCTTTCCCAACCTAAATGATTCTAAAAAAGATTCTATGAATGCCACTTTTGGCCCTGCAGCATGAAAAAACAGCACCGCGACAGCCCACGGCAGCTCAGCAGCTGTGTAGGAAAACAGGCTGATGACACACACCATATTATGGCTGGGCTCCATCAAGTTGCTATCGTCCTACAAGAGTGAGTTATTTATATTTTCAAAAGGCACACAGTTAATTCCAGCACACACAGAGTTTTAATCAAGTGACAAGCCCACTCATTATGTCTATTTGTCAAGGTCTGGCTTTTAATAAAATTTCATTTTATATATTGAGATGGCAGATGAGGAAACAAATATGAACTGGGAAGCTTTTAAACAAATTATTTTTGGAAGCTGTATAAAGTTGTGATGCACACATTGCCAGACATCAAAGATACCCAGAGGAGAGCGAGTTTCCCCCAGCGTAGCTGTTGTTACGGGTGATGCTTATCATGTTTGAGCAGCCGCTGGCGAAGCGTTGGGTTTGCTGCGTATGGTCGTTGGCTGGTTTTCTGTGACACAGCACACCCATGATTTAAGGCCATTTATCTCTAACTACAGTAAATGCTACACTGCTGTTGGCGTGCATGCTGCTGCCAGCAGGTAGTCGTAACTTTCTGTGCAACATCGCGTAGCGCTTCATGATTGTTGCACACTGGTTTTGCCCCAAACAAAAAAATACTCCTCTCTGGTATGGGACAAAGACCCACAACGCAGGCGAGAAAAGAGGCCTCTTCTACACGGTCATCTCAGTGGCAGCACACACGGGTCTGAACATACAAATTCTGGCAAGTAGCAACAATAATTGTCCGTAAACCTAAGGGTGTTTGAGAGCTAAGGGGTTGGTAACCGATACAGGGACAGAGTTAGAGGGAATAGCACAAACACAACTCCTTCTGCTCATACAGCACGTGTGCACAGCCATCTCACAGCAACCTCAATTAAGAAAAAGCGCTAATTGTAAGAAAAACATAACAGTGGTATGTTCCCCTCAGCAGTAAGCCAGACAGGTTGCCGGCTCACATTCATGAGAATCATAGAATCATAGAAT